AAGGTGCCCTCGAGCGCGGCGGCGGTGAGCTTCTCCGCGTCGCGCTGCACTCGCGCCCGTGACAGCCTGCCGGCCGCCCCTCGGGTACCAAGCCCTTCGCCGTCCCCGCCGGTAGGCATGCGCCCTTCCAGCGATGCTGTTGCGGCCCCGCAGGGAGGGGTTCGTGCCGCCGGTGGAGGGCCAGGAGAGGGCGCGCCCGAGCGGAGGTCACGCGCCAAGAGCGACGCAATCGCCGCTGCTCGACCTGGCACGCCCAAGGGGGACGCTCACCCCGTCTCGCTTCTGTCGGAGGCGAACGGCTCGGCTCCAGCTTCGTTGGGGGGTCTTCTGGGTCGTCCGTCCGTCACGACTCAGACTCGCCACCGCCAAGATCGTGCCGCCAAACTTGTTGCCGCGCTCGATTTGCTCCACCTGGAGCGCGGTGCGACCACTGATCGCGTGAACGCTCAGTTTCGACGGATGGGTTGGGCCTGCCATCCCGACCGCGATAAGTCGATCGAGGCCAGCAGGAAATGGCGTGCTCTCTGTGACGCCAAAGCCTTCCTCCTCGGGCCTGGGCGCGATGTTACCGGCCCCGATGCCCCGGCCTCTGGCGGCGCTACTCGCCGTGCTTTGGGCAGAGGGCTCTTGGCGGCGGGAAGGCGTGACGACGCGAACCGCTCGCGCGGGGTCGCCACTCGGGATTCGGCTCTCGACGCCTCCCTCGGTGCTCGCCTCCGCGGCATGCCGGGGGAGCGTCGGAGCGCCCCTGGCGCGTCTCCAGACGCAGAGCCGAGCGCGGTCGCTAGCTGCAGCGACCCAGGGTCGCGGGCTGCGCCACGTTGTACGGTGCAGACCCCCGCGATGCCTACTGCCGCCATGCGACGCACGCAAGCTCGCCCGGAGGCCGACCTGGGGGCCGCCCGTACCGCGGCCGCGGTGCTCCCGCCCTTTCGAGCCAGCACCCTGCCCCCCCTGCCAGGGTGCCGCGCCGACGCCCATAGCGTCGCGCCGCGCGCCAGCTCTGCACCTGCCCTGCTGGCCGGGCGCTCGCTGGGCGCAGCGGCTATGCTGCGTGCTACCCGCGAGCGGACTGCCAGTGCGGCCACCGCCGGGGCGGCACATCACAGGGCCGTGCTTCCGTGGGGCCACAGCGCAGAGCGCAGCGAGGTGTCGCCGGCTCCCAGCTTTGCCGACTCCTGCTGCGCCGGCCAGCGTGCCGACTCTTGCGCCGCCCAGCTCACCGCGTCCCGCGGCGACCAGCTCACTGACTTGCAGCCCTCCAAGCTCACCGACTCCCGCACCGACCAGCTCGCCGACTCCCGCGCCGACCAGATCGCCGACTCGCGTGCCGAGGGGCTCGCCGACGCCCGCACCGACCAGCTCGCTGACGCCTTCACCCGTTCCGACTCCCGTGCCGATCCTCTCACCGGATTAGCATTGCGCACCAGCCGGGTCGTTGGCCCGACGGCCACGGTTGCGAGGCGCGTGCGTGACGAACGGCGCGCTCTGGCGCGGTTCCGTGCCTCGGTCGATGTTCTCGACGCCGCTCTTACCGAAGTTGAATTCGGTCGAGGCGCGGAGGCTTGGGGTCCAAGTGCAGGAGAGCTGGCTGAGCTTTTGCAGACGACACTGGCCGAGCTCGAGCGCCAGAAGGCTGCGTTGCGCATCGCCCGCTCTCGCACTGCCGAGTGCGTCAGAGGGTCCGCTTCCGCCTCGGGCTTTTCGGGTGGAGGCGCCGCCGCAGCCGCTGCCGGCGCACCCCCGAGAGCTCCCGCCACGGCTGGTAGCGCTACTTTTGCAGCTCAAGCGAAGGAGCGTGCGGATAAGCACCCGGCTAGCTATCGCGACGTGGTCGAGGCTAGGGCTCATTCGGGCGCCCAGGCGTCGCATCCGCGCAAGCGCCGTGGCGTCGGGCGCCCGTGCTCTGCGGCGCCCGTCACGCCACGGACCGCCATTAGTTGCGATGAGCGCTCCCGCTCCGCAGCACCTGCCGCCACCCGCTCGGCCGCGTTTTCCGAGACGCTGTGCGCTGTTGACCGCAGGCGGCGCGAGCACTCCCCAGGACTCAGGCCTCTGATCCTGGACGGCACGGACCGCCAGCCGGAAGCCGCGCCGAGCACCGGCGAGGTCGTCGAGGCCCCCCGCGCCGAGCAACGCGGCCGCACCTCGCGTCGCAAGCGCAGGCGTGTTCGGGCTTCCGCCGGAGCGGCAGCTACCACTCCTGCCAATCCCTCTGGTCAAGAGCCGCCCGCGTCAGCCTTCGTGGCAGGGCGCCAGGACTGGCCTGCCTCTCTGGAGCCTGCCCTTCCCGAGGGGGCTTCCGAGGCCCTCGGGGTGAAGGTGGAGAGCCACTCTCGGCGCGTCCCCTCTTGCGGCGACCAGCGCACTCGTTCGCTTAAGGCGTTTGACGTGTGGTGCGCCGAGCACACAGGAGTGGCACTTGCCACATGGGCTCGCAGCGGCATCTTGCTCGGGAGAGCGCTCGCGACCTTCGGCGTGTGGTTGTACGATGCTGGCTTCCCCCGCCTCGTCCTCGTGAATGCGATCCGGGGAGCACAGGCCCTTCAGCCCCACTGGAGGGGCTTCCTCACCGAGGCGTGGGATGTGGCGGAGCGGTGGATCCCTTCCAAGCCTCCCTGTCCCCTCCCACCGCTACCGCGTGCTCTGCTGCGCGCCATGGTAGCGTTGTGCCTCGCATGGGACTGGCCGGATATGGCCACCCTGCTGCTTGCCGGGTTCACTATGTCCGTGAGGCCTGGTGAGTTGGCAACCGCCCGCCGGAGCGACCTCACTCTGCCCATTGACCGCCGTGAGTCCACGGGCGACGCTTTGCTGAGCATCTCTGTTCCGGAGGCCCGGGGGTCTGGCGGAGAGCGTCAACACGCTCGGTGCTCCGATCGTGCTGTGGTCAGGATGATGGAGCTGGTCTTTAGAGATTTGAGTCCCACCGATCCCCTATTGACCTTCGGTCAAAGCGGCTTCCGCACTCGGTGGCTCGATCTTCTTTCGGCGCTGGGCGTCCCGCTCGCCAGAGCGCCATCGGGGTTCGATCTGTCCCCTGCGCTGCGCTTCAGAACCGATATTTCGGACGGCATTAATCGCGTCTTCTGGCGTGATCGCTGGCGGCTAGCTTCCAGTACAGAGCGCTATCTCCACGATGCTGCCGCCTCTGCAGTCCTCCCATCATTGGCTGAAGCCGCTCGGGACCGCGTTTCTTACCTCGCCGAAGCAAGCGACCTCCTCGTCGCATCCTTTCTGAATGTTGGCCCAGCTGTGTGGCCCATTCAGCTCGCGGCCGCCCGCCGAAACCTTGTCACTTCGCAAGGGCTTTGAGCCTGGGTATGGCTGCTGCGGCCTCCCTTGGCCGCCCGGGTGCCCTCGTTGGACGAGGCCGCCTGAGAGCGTCGCACGGCCCGCCCGCGTAGGCCTGTCCCGCTTTACGGGCCGCCGCGGGCGCGCGCCGCGCGTTCGCCCTGAGACGACTGCTCACTTGCGCAGCGTGCGGGGATGCTCCTTCTTATCCCCATCGCGCCCGCTGATTGCAGTCGTCTGCAGCTTCTCGGCCCCCTCCCTCTCTCCTCCCTCCTTCTTCGAAGGCTGACCTGCGGCGCTGCTGCGGCCTCCCTTGGCCGCCCGGGTGCCCTCGTTGGACGAGGCCGCCTGAGAGCGTCGCACGGCCCGCCCGCGTAGGCCTGTCCCGCTTTACGGGCCGCCGCGGGCGCGCGCCGCGCGTTCGCCCTGAGACGACTGCTCACTTGCGCAGCGTGCGGGGATCCTCCTCCTCCTCCTCCTCCTCCTCCTCCTCCTCCTCCTCCTCCTCCTCCATGTGTGTACCCTCTCTTTCGACCGACGTGCACACCCGCGGACGACCGGCGTGCGCCGTCGTCGATCCTCGGCCCCGGAAGGGTGCGGTGCGCAGTGTCTGCCTCTGTCCTCCCGGGCCCGGGGGACCGAGCCTCGTGCTGCGCTGGGGGGGGGCTCGACGGGAGTTCAAGCACAGGTCAGGCGATCGCGGGCGTCAAGCGGCGGCGAAGCGCCTCGGCTGAAGTCGGGCATGTCCCTCCGCAGTCAGGCGGTGGCAAACACGGATCAAGGGGGGGCAGGAGACCAGGCCCGCTACGGATCAACATGGATTTCAGGCCCCCGGAGACCAGGGCAAGACTGGCCAGGACGTGGGCACGCCGGGGAAGCGGCACCCTTTCCAGTGGAGTCAGATTCGGTCCTCCAGTGCACCTTCTCGGGGGCTGCGCTGCAGGATTCGGGTCTTTGTCCGGGCCTAGGGGGGGAGTGCAGGCTTTTGGGGGGCCAATTGTCTTTGGGTTTATTACACATCAGGCGATGGCAAACATGGATCAAGGGGGCGTGGATTAGCGACGGGTCCCTTTTCCATGGGAAATCGCGGAATCCTGCCGCCGAGCGAGGCGGCACCGGCCGCATCTTGGGGAGGGCACCTCCCCCGAACCGTGGATTTGGCGACCGCGCGTCGAGTCCATGGATCGCTAATCCATTTTTGCGCGCCCCCGAACAAAGTTGCAGTGCGTTTTTTTTCGTGCCGCCGTCTGTAGAACAGTGAGTTCGAGGGATATTGGCTGTCCAGGTCTAGCGTGTGCAGGCTTACGGGCCCCGACCCCGTACAGAAAGGGAGTAACAAAATACCCCGACCGAGACGATCAGCGTTGCCTGACAGTCCAAGGCGTTTATACTGAGCAGCCCTGTCCTGTTCGATTTCTTCCGCGGGCACCTTTGCCAACGAGGGCTTCGCTGGCACGGGGTGCGGATGCTGAGGACGGTTCTGATGCTCGCCCTGGCGTGCAGTCCGCCCCCCTGCTCTGCCACCGCCCCCAAACTTGTCTTGGACTCCTCCGGACGCGGATTCCAGAGAAGGCCTCGTGCACTGCGGCCCCGCTCGCTCCGTGCTTTCGGGCGTTTTTTCATGGAGGAGGAGGAGGAGGAGGAGGAGGAGGAGGAGGAGGAGGAGGAGGAGGAGGAGGAGGAGGAGGAGGAGGAGGAGGCGGCCCCCCGCTCGCTTGCCGCTCTTGGGCGTTTTCTGAGGTGTCGGACGGCAAACGTGCGCGTGGCGACACTCAAGACGCGGGCACTGCACCGCGCCCCCGCCGCGGTGCGGCGGGGGCGCCCCGCTCTTTGGCCTTCCGCGGCATGGAAGCCTGGCGGGACCGCGCGCGGCCGCGGCCGAACCTCAAGGAGGTACGGGAGTCGCTCGCTTTCTTCGAGAAGGTGCGCTGGGATGCACCTCCTGTCCAGAGCCGGCCGGATCCGGCGCAAAATCTCGCCGAGTGCCGCTTCATCCCGCTCAGTCTGGCTCAATCGGGCCCAATCTTGGGCTCATTCCGACCTAGTCCAGTTTGTTGGCCCCTTCAATGAGGCTTGATATTCTGCATCGTTCTTGCGACCACCTAGGGAGCTGTCTCCTAGGTGGGTGTTTTTTGTATTCTCTGGGCCATGACGCGCGTCAGCCCGTCCCCTCCCCCCCCCCTCCCTCCATAACGTAACGCTCCCGCCTCCCCCCCAGTACGTCCCCGGCACTGCCGCAGTGCGCCTGGCACCAAAGTCTGTCGCGGTGAGTGGCTGGGGCGTTGCGTTATGCCCCCTCCCCACCTTCACCCTCCTCCCCCCCCCACAACGCCCGTGATCGACGCGAATATCGGGTCACGAATTCTATGCATGTCCAGTGCTCCCTGGCCAGGCCCGTTCTGAACCTGGGAGCTGTGTATACGCTCTCTTGGCCGAGCCAGGAGGGCGTGACGTATCCACCGTTGCTGCGTTCAGGATGGCCTGGCCAGGGAACAGTGGATATGTATAGATTGGAGAGGCCTTATGGCTGGTGCCGTCGACACTGAACGACGACGACGACGATGACGACGACGACGACGACGACGACGACCTACGTCCTCTTGGCCGAGCCAGGGGGCGTGGCGTATTCATTGTTGCTGGGTTCAGGGTGGGCCTGGCCAGAGAGCAGTGGATGTGTATGTATGTCTGTATATCTATATCTATATTTCTGTGTGTATATAAACCTAATATGGAGCGTTCCAAAAGTGCATCGCCTTCGAGAATCGAAGGAGCTATCGTCTCTTCCGCGGCGGAAGGCGGTGGAAGGGCGGCGGGAAGGCAGCGCAAGTAAACCGAGGCCGCCTCCGCCGACGGAAACCCGCGGAAGCTCAGCCGAAAGCGGCGGAAGTAATATGTACGCCCCCATGAGATGAATATGTTTTTGGATTCAGGGGTTCCGAAATCGTCCATGTATATGTATATGTACGAATTTACATATCGATGGGCAACTTTCCACCACCACTACCGTATGTAGGACGGCGGAGAAGGGAGGATCAGGAACTCCTCCTCCTCCTCCTCCTCCTCCTCCTCCTCCTCCTTGGCGAGGGGTTAGGCCACCACAGACCCCAGCGCGGTGAGGGGTTAGACCTCAGCGGCCCCCAGCGTGGCGAGGGGTTGGGCCACGGAATACCCCAGCGCGGTGAGGGGTTAGACCGCAGTGGACCCCAAGCGTGGCGAGGGGTTAGGCCACCAACAACCCCAGCGCGGCGAGGGGTTAGGCCGCAGCGGCCCCCAGCGTGGCGAGGGGTTAGGCCACCGCGGCGCATGCCAGAGGCAGGCGAGCAGAACGCCAGCGCGCAGGGCGTCAGCCTGGAAGCCGAGTGGGGGCCCAGAGCCCATGGCAGCCAGCCGCCCTGCGGAGGTGTGCAACGAGACGCCCGAGCACTCCCACGGGCCCAGGGAGCCGCAGCACGAGGGGCCCCTGGATGAGCCGCGAGCGGAGGAGCGGCAGCGGCCGTCCATCAGGCTGCTCCTCGAGCTCTGAGCTCGTGCCGGCAGAGAGGATGCGCGCTGAGGCCGCTGGCCCACCCTGCCGCGAGCGTGCTGTGAGCGCGCTCGGCCAGGGTGCCGAGACCAGAGGCACCCACGTGCATGCCAGAGCACGCGTGTTTGAACCTCCTCCTCCTCCCCCTCCTCCTCCTCCTCTTCCTCCTCCTCCTCCTCCTCCTCCCCCTCCTCCTCCTCATCCTCCTTCTTTCTCCTCCTCCTCCTCCTCCTCATTTCTTTCTCCTCCATCTCCTCCTCCTCTTCCTCCTCCTCTTCCTCCTCCTCCTCCTCCTCCTCCCTCTCCTGCCCATGGTAATGGTTGTGTAACATGGGCCCATCGTCTGTGTAGATGTCGTCGACCTGGGACAAAAATCAGGCCCTGTCTGAGGTGCGGCGGGTGCTGGGGCGCAGGCGGCTGGTGGTGGACGCCGCCGGGGGCCACGGGGCGGTGGCGCTCGCCTTCGCCGCCGCGGGGCGGGCGGAGCGCGCGGTCGTGGCGGACGTGCGCTGCCCGCCCAGCTTCGAGAGGCTGCGGTCCGCCTGGCCCTAAGGAGGAAAAGCAGCACAGGCATGCCAGTCGGTCGTTTGAACGGAGGTCTTCTCGGTGGCAGATGATGGGAGCCTGGTGTACTCTCGCAATTCCGTCTTCGGCACTGGTTGGCGCCGAGTAGCGTCGGGGGTCGATGAAAGATAGCGCCGATTTAGCGTCGGCTAGTGTCGATCAGCGTCGACTTAGGGTCGATTAGCGTCGATTTAACGTCGATTAGCGTCGACTGAGCGGAAAAGCAGAAGTATAGTGATCGTATTCTTGCTTGTTGTTTTGTTGATCGGCGCGGGCCCTCGTTTCCCCCCCCTCCCGTGGAGTAGACCGTGGCTTTTTTCTGGCGCCTGTTTCGAGCAGGTGGAGCCTCCCCCAGACGACGCTCGGTTGCAAACAGTCGCGTTAAGCAGAGGTTCGGAGCCAGACAGCCCGCTCTCCCCCCCTCCTTCCGCCCAATGTCGAAGCGTCGAATCAGAAAACGTTCACATATCCGTCGGTCGCTTGAAAGTAGGTGCTTGTGGATGCCCAAGTCCCAATCTACTCTTGGCGCCTGACTACTTTAAGAATATTCGAATGGTGCTCTCTCTTGCTACTCAGTCTACTTTCAACGACTTGCGACTTCATGTTTCTATCCACTTCTTCCGACCGACGGGTAACCTTTCGGACCCAGACTTGCAACGCACTGGAACATTGAATGCTGATTTTTAGCGCCGTTTTCGGCCTCTGATCGCCCTCGCCAGGCCTCAGGGCCGACAGAAGGCGACTCTGGATGCGAAACCAGCCGTATGGGAAACGTCAGCATGTTGGATCTCCGGGAATCTTCGGCAGCCGCGCGGAGTTTCCGGATCGGCGCTGGACCCCCCTCCGGGTACCTTGGGCCAGGGGCACTTCTAGCAACACCCGACCCCTGGCGGCGCCTTTGGCGCCGCCCTTGGCTCACTCTTCGCGCCAGGGAGGCTTCCGGGTCTGCGGTGAGCCAGTGGGAGTCGTGGCGACCCACGGCGTTGGGACCCGGGCCGTTTCCCGAGGACGCCGGAGCCTCCGTTGACACAAACCGCGGTAGCGGCCTGTGCTGTGAGATTTTCTGGGATCGAGGTCACACCGCACGGCCCGTTACTGCACCGTGCTAGGGCCCCGAAGGAGGTGATGGTGATGATGATGCTGATGTTGATGCTGTTGATGATGCTGCTGCTGATGAGGATGAGGATGAGGATGAGGATGAGGATTATGATGAAGATTACGATGATGGTGATGATGCTGATGACGATGATGATGGTGATGATGGTGGTGGTGGTGATGATGAGGATGATGGTGCTGGTGGTGGTGATAATGATGATGAAGATGAGGATGGGGATGAGCATGATGATGATCTTGATGATGCTGATGACGATGACGATGCTGCTGATGATGATGATCCTGATGATTATGATTGTGATGGTGATGCTGCTGCTGCTGATGATGATGGTGGTGATGATGATGATGTGGAGGATGATGAGGAGGATGAGGGTGAGGATGAGGATGAGGGTGATGAGGATGATGATGATGCTGATGATGATGATGATGATGATGATGGTCGTGGTGATGATAATGATGTTGAGGATGTGGGTAATGATGATGATGCTGCTGGTTTTCACGATGATGTTGTTGACAAGGATGATGATGATGCTGATGATGACGATGCTGCTGATGATGATGTTGATGAGGATGCCTACGATGGTGATGATGAGGATGATTCTGATGCTGCTGATGATGATGAGGCCGATGCTGCTCATGATGAGGATGATTATGTTGATGCTCATGCTGATGCTGAGCATGATCATGATGCTGACGATGATGATTACCATCATGATAATGAGGATGATGCTGATGTGGGTGATGACGATGGTAGTTGTGGTGATGCTGCTGATTATGCTGATAATGATTGTGGTGGTGTTGGTGATGTTGCTGCTACTGATGATGCTGGTCTTGATGCTTGTTATGCTTCTTGTGTTGATCGCGACTATGTCCCAGGATGATGAGTCAGATGATGAACTTGACTATGATGTAGACGATGCTGATGTTGATGATGATGATGCTGATGATGATGACGCTATCGATTGAGATGATGATGCATGATGCTAGAGCTGATGATGTGATGATGATGCCGATGCTGCTGATGATGGTGATGCCGTTTGTGTTGTTTATGATGCTGGTGATGGTGGAGATGCTGATGCTGATGCTCATGCTGATGCTGTTGTGTCTGTTGATGATGCCAATGATGATGATACTGCTGCTGAGGATGGTGATGCTCATGATGATGATGATGATGATGATGCTGATGATGATGATGATGATGAGTATGGCGATGGCACGGCTGGTGACAATGAGGATGATGATGTGGACTAGCATTATGATCATGATGATGATGTTGATGATGATGGTGCTGATTTTGATGCTGATGCTGCAGCTGATGACGATGCTGATGACGACGAAGATGATGATGTTGATGCTGCTGCTGATGATGATGAGGATGGGGAGCTTGATGAGATGATCATGATGATGATGGTGATGGTAGTGATTAGTATAATTATGACGATGATTACGATGCTGATGATGATGGTGGTGATGATGATTGTAGTGGTGATGATGTGCCGCTGCTGATGATGATGCCTGAGGTGATTCTGATGATGATGATGCTGCTGATGAGGATGAGGATGAGGATTGTGAGGATGATGATAATGATTATACTCGGTCGCCTTGAGATAGCACAGGCCAAAACCGACTTGTGCTATTGCAGTCGCTCGCGTTTGACGTATAGTAAATCTTCGAACGCCGAGTTTTTTCGCATCTTCTGAACCCCAAGTCATGATGTCTCGGCTACTTTTGCAATTTTGTGCTCCGGGGACATCGAGAACGGCCCCTGTCCAAGTTTCTGCGTGCTATCTCGCCCCTTGTGTTGTGCTATGTGCGCGCTGTGCTATCCTCGCCCCTCCCCCCCATGATCCTCCCTGTCGCACCCTGAGGCCAGTTTTTAGGGTGGGTCGGGCGTATCGCCTGAGACTTCCCCACCACCTATGACTTTGAAGCTTAAAAAGGATCCCTGAGCTCCAGGAGGACCCCGCGACAGATGGCGAGATGGGGTCGGTGGCTGGGATGTAGGGCGGGTCCGTTCTCTTCTCTTCTCTTCTCTTCTCTTCTCCTCCTCCTCCTCCTCCTCCTCCTCCTCCTCACCCTCCTCCGCCTTCTCCCCCCCCGCCTCGCTCTCTCCCTCGCCCCCTCCCCCCCCATCCCCCCGCCCCCCCGCACGCGTAGCATAGCACGCGGCTAGCATAGCACAACTCAGGAGAGCCCCCCTCTCTCGCTGCCAGGGCGGCGCTTTTTGGGGCGAGGTTTCTCCGATACATCCCCCTTCTCTCTTTGTTCCCTCTCTTTATCTCCCCCCATCCCTTCGGCCGGCGGGGTCGAGAGGATCCGCGCGAAATGCTCGGAGGATCCGCGCGAAATGCGCGCGAGGCTGAGGCAGGCCGAGGCTGGGGCTGAGGCAGGCTGAGGCTGAGGCTGAGGCAGGCTGAGGCTGAGGCAGGCTGAGGCCGAGGCTGAAGGCAGACTGAGGCTGAGGCTGAAGCAGGCTGAGGCTGAGGCTGAGGCAGGCTGAGGCTCGCTCTCTCCGCACGCGGCTCGCATAGCACAACTCAGGAGAGCCCCCCTCTCTCGCCGCCAGGGCGGCGCTTTTTGGGGCGAGGTTTCTCCGATACATCCCCCTTCTCTCTTTGTTCCCTCTCTTTATCTCCCCCCATCCCCTCGGCCGGCGGGGTCGAGAGGATCCGCGCGAAATGCGCGCGAGGCTGAGGCAGGCCGAGGCTGAGGCTGAGGCAGGCTGAGGCTGAGGCTGACTGAGGCAGGCTGAGGCTGAGGCAGGCTGAGGCTGGGGCCGAGGCTGAAGGCAGACTGAGGCTGAGGCTGAAGCAGGCTGATGCTGAGGCCGAGGCAGGCTGAGGCTCGCTCTCTCCGCACGCGGCTCGCATAGCACAACTCAGGAGAGCCCCCCTCTCTCGCCGCCAGGGCGGCGCTTTTGGGGCGAGGTTTCTCCGATACATCCCCCTTCTCTCTTTGTTCCCTCTCTTTATCTCCCCCCATCCCTTCGGCCGGCGGGGTCGAGAGGATCCGCGCGAAATGCGCGCGAAGCTGAGGCAGGCCGAGGCTGAGGCTGAGGCAGGCTGAGGCTGAGGCTGAGGCAAGCTGAGGCTGAGGCAGGCAGGCTGAGGCCGAGGCCGAGGTTGAAGGCAGACTGAGGCTGAGGCTGAAGCAGGCTGAGGCTGAGGCTGAGGCAGGCTGAGGCTCGCTCTCTCCGCACGCGGCTCGCATAGCACAACTCAGGAGAGCCCCCCTCTCTCGCCGCCAGGGCGGCACTTTTTGGGGCGAGGCTTCTCCAATACATCCCCCTTCTCTCTTTGTTCCCTCTCTTTATCTCCCCCCATCCCCTCGGCCGGCGGGGTCGAGAGGATCCGCGCGAAAAGCGCGCGAGGCTGAGGCAGGCCGAGGCTGAGGCTGAGGCAGGCTGAGGCTGAGGCTGAGGCAGGCTGAGGCTGAGGCAGGCTGAGGCTGAGACCGAGGCTGAAGGCAGACTGAGGCTGAGGCTGAAGCAGGCTGAGGCTGAGGCTGAGGCAGGCTGAGGCTCGCTCTCTCCGCACGCGGCTCGCATAGCACAACTCAGGAGAGCCCCCGTCTCTCGCCGCCAGTGCGGCGCTTTTTGGGGCGAGGTTTCTCCTCATCCCCCTCTCTATTTGTTTTTCCCCCCTCTTCTTTATTCTCCCCCCATCCCCCTCGGCGGCGGGGCCAGAAAGGATCCGCGCGAACGCGCGCTGAGGCTGCAGGCAGGCCGAGCTGATCTGAGGCAGGCTGAGGCTGAGGCTGAGGCTGATGCAGGCTGAGCCTGAGGCAGGCTGAGGCTGAGGCCGAGGCTGAAGGCAGACTGAGGCTGAGGCTGAAGCAGGCTGAGGCTGAGGCTGAGGCAGGCTGAGGC